TAAATTCACGCTAACAAAAAATCAAGTACAGATTTCAAACGATAATGCGCAGGAAAAATATGGAAACTTAAGGAAGGCGAAAAATTAAACTGCATGTTCAAGCAAATAGTAACTCAAATGATTCTCACGAAGAATAAACTGATCAGCTTGCTGAGAAAGTAGAGGCTTTGTTTACGACCATGCTAAAAGGAACAAGCTGTAAACAGGAAACTGTCTTCTGTAAAAGAAGCAAGAGAAGAATTTACGAAACTGACAGCAATTATGCGCCTTGAACATTATCATAAGTTTTTCTGAATAGAAAAAGAAACAAAGGAAAACTTTTTGCAATTCGCCTACCCATGCAACCTGCTAATAAATGTATGATCAAGACAGGAACCTATCATTAATTAATTCACGTTACTACTCATTTCTTCTTCTACTGACGTTAAAAGTGAGACACATTAACGCAAACTTTGTTATAAAGAAGCTACAAGATTGCTATAAAGAAGCAACAAGATTAGAACAAAAGAAAAGATCTATAAAAATGACACGTCCAAAAGTGATCTTTGCAGTTAGGTTCAAAAAGCAACACAAAAAAACTAAATAAATACTTTTAAGATACCGAATTTATCCTGCATTAACATGACAAACATCATATTCAGGAGCACAGTTCTCGAAACTAGTTTTCAAAGCTACGAAACAAATGCACGCGCTTCAAGTCACCACAAGCTTAACAGAAAAATAGCTATACGGAAATGCGAACGTAAAAGTTTGTACAGCGATTTTTTGAGACGTTTTCTTTTATTGCATAAAATTCTTCTATATCGCATTAGCCAAATATAGAAGACTGAATAGCGTGATACAAAAATCAATGAAAAAAAAAGATCAACAAACCAATAAGCAGTATGTAATTTAGCAGCGATATGACAAGGATCTTCTAAGAAGAATCACACCAAACAACCTCATCCTGAAACGACAGGAAATGGCCCTTTTCGAAGATAATTCCGCGTACTTTCTAAACGCGACCGAATGAAGCAAATCACTGCTTATATGTACATGTACTTATGAATCACAAATCACAAATCACCACATGAAATAACTGAGAAATCAAAAAAATGAAAACTGAAAATTGAAAAGAAGAATCCGTTATGGAATTTACATTGGCTGGAGCCTGATTTGCAGGAAATAGAGAAGCAAAAAAGCCATTTATGAAGGCACAAAAACCGAAAAGTTACTGACCGTGCAGACAGTTCATGAAAATCACTGGGATCAACACTCCGCCTAACACTTTCGTTTTCATCAGAAACGTCTCCGTCTTCATTTCCTGCTTCCTCCACCAACAGCAATAGCCTTTATACAAAAAAAAA